ACTGAAAAATTTAATTTTTTCTGAAAAGGTGGTGTCTATGTACTTGTGACCACTCTGTGTACATAGTATCAAAATTAATCATCTATTTACAGCACAAGTAATAATAATACAATATAAATAAGGTAGGCTAACTAATAAAACTATGTCAATTGCAAAACTTTATACACGATTCCCGTACATCAATCATAAATAATAAAATAAAAGCAAAGAACCACAATTATGTGAGCCTTACAAAAGAATCCTGACATTATGAGTACGCATAATTACAAATTTATCTAAAACCTCAACCGCTGTATCTTCAATGTCTTTGTGAGTAGCCAATAATGTGAGTCCAGTTAATCTGTTGTCACTAAAGGATGATTACAAATACGTTTTGAGTTGCTTCAAGGAGGAAAATGTGCACTCTACACTGGCTGTAGTTATAGGGACTGTTGCAGCAAAATGCAACTGGACATAAATGTTTGGGTATAGCTTCTGATCATACTGAAGCAAAGCATCTATAGAAGATTTGGGACAAAAATAGCACTGATGCTAAAATTGTTTCCAAAGCTCATTTTCAGTTAATATTTTGTCATCATCAACAAATTTGCTGTATTTGTCAAGAATTGGCATATGGTCAGCTGATAAGTATTTTAAACAGTGAGCAGGAATGAGTATACCATCACTAATGATACTGAGTTATGCTCTTTTGCACCTCTCAGACATCTTAGTTATGATATGGCCACTGAAAGGAATGTAGATAGACCTAAGAAAATACTCTTGAGGGCACATTGTTTCTATATTGCTGTCTAGATGTTGACCTCAGTTTCTTTAGTTCAATATCAAGGTAATCTGCAGTGGCCTAAACTGCCATCTAGATTTCAGCAAATTGTTCTGATACACTTTCACATTTTCACTTGAGGAGATTTAATATGACATCAACATATTCAAGAATTATGCACAAGTCTTGTTGAACTGCCTGTAGCTGAAGTTAAAATTGTTCAGTTATTGATAATGTCTTTTTCAAAACAAAGTAGTGCAACTACGAATTCTGGCTTACTGGTGGCTCGTGGGAGCATTTTAGCCTTGGTACAAGCTGCAATATCTGAAAGACTTGAGCAAAATTACAACGTCCATTTGATTTCAAGCAGCAGCTGGCAGAAGGTTAAGACACTATCATCCCTTTCAACTCATCTTATTTGACAGATTGTTTTCAAATGGTCCTTTTTTATCTCATTCAAGTTTAACATATCTAATTGCTTTTCTTAAATATCAACTCTTTTCATGAGTGATTGGTGAAATTAGTAATTTTAGATAATACGGCATGTACATTTTGTATAGTGGGTACAGAGCAAGCAGTAACCAATGTGAGAAGACAGTGACTATCATAATGCAAGAATAATACAGATGGATGTTTTTTGAATACCTTGGAACTGTCCTCTCATTATTGCTGCTGCTCCATCATAACCATGTCCTACCAGACCTTCCATGTTGATTCCATGACTATTTAAATCTTCATTATTGATTCCGCTAAAGAGTCATCAGTCACTAAGACAAATCCAAGAAGTATTCTCATATTACTTCATCATAAATTTATCATACAAATACTTTGTTGTTTCTGCTTTGAAACATTGGTCGTTTCACCTGCTAATATCGAGAAGAAACAAGCTTCAACCAATCTATCACATTTTTTTGCACTACAACAGAGCCAGCACATTCTATCAAGTTATTTTGGATAGTCTTACTTATATAAGTTGTGTTCTTCCCAGTTGTTTACAGATGTTCTGTAAGTGCTGTATCACCTGCATCTACTCAAAACAACAGTAACTAGCAAAAATTTCCACTATCAACAATAGTGCCTTCCTCTAACTCAAGACTTTCATCATCCCTATGCCCATGGAAGGTGATATTCAAACTTCCACCGAAAAATACTGTTTTTATGATCAATTTTAGTCTTTCCCTAGTTGCTGCAGCTGTTTTAAGTCTAGCTTGATCCAAAACTTCATGATATTTGAATTATGGTTGATGGAATGAATAAAATTTTGTACTTTCATAAGAGATGTTGCGTAATACTTGGTTTTTCTCCTGCTCTCTCACATATCCATCCTTCTCAAAAAGTTTTTTGTATCTCTGCAGTGGCTTGAAAACTGGCCTTCGAAGTTTTGACCCCCCCCCCCGATCTATCGGATTGTGACTGAGGTCCAAGTAGGACAATTGCGCAGCAAAAAAAAAGGCCATTTGCTTCTCAAGAATAAACCAAATATTAACAGCCTTTCAAGTGATTTCTACTTATATATCTCTTCTCTGCTTTTCCGTTTATGGTTCTCTCTGAGAATGGCATATCACCCTCTTTATCTGTCTTCAGATAAACGAGAGCACCAAATGGTAGATCTACAGTTTTCTGTGTTGATTCCCTCATTTGTGCAGTGACAAAGATTTCTTGGAATCTTTTCCACAGCGAGTCTTTGAGGTCTCTGATTAAGCTATTCAGGTACTGAACATTGACTAACATACCATGCAGATGATGATTTAACGACAAAACAGAGGGCAGGGCTTATGGTGACAACCTACTTTCCTTGCATCAAGTTGGTTGCTTCAAGGATTGGTGACAAGTTCTTGCTACTTGCTCCCTTCTCTGCTGCTGAAAGCAACCTCGTTATGTGCTTGTTCTTCCAGGAAACCGCATAATACCTGATGGTCAAGACAAACTATAGCTTTAACCTGTCTTAGGGTTGAGTTCCTTCTGGGGCAGGAATCCCTTTGTTAGGCCCAAACACCTTTTCAAAGGCTTCTTTGAAGAAGCAAGTGGGATGCATTAAGGTGTACAATTTTGAAGCTTTACTCATGGCCAGTTTGATTGCTTTTGTTCTTTACAGCCTATCCAACACCATCAGTTGCAGGGTGAAAACAATGCAGATGCTGTTTCTGGTCAGTGCCATATCTACATCTTGCTGGTCTTCTTCCTGGAGCTCTTCCTATAAACTGTCATCATCAAGGTCATCAGCACTAGTAGGTCCTGCATCATCATCAGTAGTTCTAAGGAAGCACACAGTGAATGCTTTCTTCATGTATGATGTGTTGTCACATATAATGTAGTCCAGTTTGTTCTTCATTACATATTCGTCACAGATGGCTTCAAGTGCATCTCTGATTTTCTCACTTGTGTGGGAACCTGTGAATCTGCTACAGCTTAAGAGGTATGACCTTAGGTTGATGGCAGACTTCTTGATTTCAGTTCCATGGGCAGTCACACCAAGGAACCTCATATATTTGTCTGATCAGATCAGTGAAAGAAACCCAGAATGTTTCTTTTGGTTGGGCCTTGATGAGGTCTTTCTGTTTTATAATCATGTCACTTATGTGGGATGATACAGTTCCTCTACTAATTGGCCCATACTTGCTATCAAAAATACCTATGAAATGACAAAAACTACCATTTTCAATTATTGACGGTGCCATTCTACAGTTAATGTTAATAATAAGGTCAAATATAACTGCCTCAGTAATGGCTCGCTGATGGAGACATGATGTTCCATGCACAGCTACTGGGCTAGTTACGAAAAATGTAATTGATCTCTGACTTTGATCTGTAATTCTGACTCATCTTTGAATCACAGTACTCTTTATATTGTGCAAGGATTTAAAAAAAATACAACATTTTAGTTATTAAAAAAACGGGTAATGTGAGGTAAGGAGAAATTTGTGAAAGTTTAACATTTTTTGAAATAAATCATAAAAAGTAAACCTTGATGGATGAGTATGACTTGCACCTTTGGGCCATGTAAATTTAATTCAAATCAATCAGAAACTTTTCAAATATGACAAATTTTGACGTTTTTTTTTTTTTTTGTCAAATCTGACTTCCAGATGACCTTTGAATTTTAATGTCTGATTTATGTGCAATTTGACAGCAAAAATCTTGTTTTGCTCCTTTAAGCTTTACAGTGCTTTTTATAATACCATTGAAATTGGACATTTATTTATAAACAATTGATATTCTTTGATTAATCATATTAATTTGTGTGTATGTATATATATAGAGATAGATAGATCATATTTATATTTAAAGAACAAGTAATTATTAATTTATGAATTATTAACACACAAAAAAACAAGCTTCCCGTTTTTGTTGTGGTAACAAGATAAGACAATGTCTTATCATTATCAAATATATATATCAACTCACAAGAATAGCTCCCACAAATGAAAGAAATATATAAACAAGAAAGTGTGTGGGGGTATTGTTACACCTTTTTTTTAATTGCCAAAAATCACAACTCAATTTTTATTCATTTTATCTTTATTAACTTACTAATTCGATCTTCTTCTTTCCAAATTTGACACTTTATTGGAATTGTGAAGGATTTTTTTTTGGGGGGGGGTGTAAATTTCAGACCCTTCAATGTACATCTTAAGTTATAATTAAAGTATATGCCGGTATTGCAATGAAAGTAAGACTACATTACATCATACTGTTGCGTCATCGAGGTCACGTGACTGGTGTGGCGCCCTCTATATTCTAGAACTATCTTGTTTTTTCATGAATGCTCTAGTAATTGCTAGATAGGGTAGGCTGGTATATAAAAGAGGGGAATGTAATGTGTGTGTAGATAGTGAGTAATTGAACTGCAGTCACAGGGTATTGTT